AGCCCAAAGTGATATAATGTATAGGCCTGTTATGGTTCAGGGCTTTTCATCTACCAGCTGCCTGTGTGCATGTTGGAGGTGCAAAGACTCCTGAGCGTGTAATGTTAATTTTACCTGTGTTCATTGAATAAATCAGCACTGTTTTGAAGTTCCTCGGACTGCTTCGTCTCTGAGTTAACGTGGTGAAAAGAACGAAGGTCCAACAAGAGCATGGAAAATAACAACATGCGTGAGCTGTGTAGAGGCCTGAAACACATCTTGGGTCATGGTAAAAGTGGTGATGGTCACCAGGTCGCAGGGGACAAGGCCTGGGCAAATGAACTGAATCTGTTTTTTAACAGATTTGACTCTACCAAGTCCTTAGCCCCCACCGTGCCAGCCCCCCCGTCTCACCTCTCCAGGTCAGTTGTCTCCTCGCAGCTGCAGCTGCTCACACCTCAGCCAGACCTTGCCCTTCCTCCCACTGTCATGGGGGGTTCTCAACAGCCCACAGCTCCTGAGCAGTCACTGCCCACCCGTCCCCTCAGCCTCATGGTGGACCAGGTCAGGATGGAGTTAATGAGGATTAAGGCCAGGAAGGCCACAGGCCCTGACAACATCAACCCCAGGGTCCTCAGGGAGTGTGCAGACCAGCTCAGTGAAGTGGTCCTGTACGTGTTTAATCTGAGTCTTAGCCTGGAGAGAGTTCTAGTTCTGTGGAAGACATCCTGTGTGGTCCCAGTTCCTAAAAGAACTCATCCCAAGGACACCACCTGTGTTCCTGTTCCCCAGTCCACCGATGACAGTGATGTCAACACCAACTCAGTTCCAGCTCCTGAGTGGGTCAACAACACCATCACACCTCCAGCTCTGGAGTGGGTCGACAACTGCACCATGCTCCAAGTTCCTGAGTAGGCCAATGTCACTCGGTCCCAGCTTCCACCCTGCCAGTCATTGGCCCTGTGACTCAGGTCTCCACCACTGCAGCCCTTGTCTCTGCCTCTTCCCCAGCTGCAGTCCTCACTCTCTGCAGGCCCCTGCCTGGCTCTGGGGCCGTCCTCCTGATTGGTGTCTCCGAGCTCCTGACTGGTCCCGAGGTTGTCCTCTGGAACGGCCTCTCTTGCGGTCTTCTGCTTGGTTCTGTCCTCCGGAATGGCCTGTCCTGTGGGCTTCTGCTGGGTCTTGAGGCTGTCCTGAGTGGCCTCGTTGAATTCCTGCTTGGTTCTGAGGCCGTCTTCCCAACTGGCCTCTCCAATCTCCAGCCTGGTTCCAAGGGCAGCCTCTCCAATCTCCTTTCTGTTGTTGAGGCCCCTGAGCAGCCTCATTGACTTCCTGTTGGTGTCATGGCCATCCTCCCAAGCGGCCCCTCCATTCTTCTGCCTGGCTCAGAGGTCAGCCTCCTCCTGCCTGGTTCAGGGGTTGCCCTCCTGGGCAGCCTTTCCTGTTCCTGGCCTGGACTCTAGTTCACCCGCCGGAATGGTCATTATTTTGGCCCGGAACCTGACACTTAGGTACAGTTGTGGTACGTTCTCATGGGTCACCCCCCTGGGTGGTGGTACCCTGTTTTTGGTTTTATGGGTGCTCCTGTGGACTTTGGATTTTGTGTTTTGTGTTAGTCTGGTGCTGGTTCAATACCTCTACCTCTGTTCCCTCTTATCCACCCAGGAACCTCACCTTTTATATATACAATAAACCCGCTTTATGTTTCCACTCCTGTGTGTGTGTGTGTGTCTGCATTTTGGGTCCACCTATATCAGTTCCTGACAAAAGGTCTGGGCAAGGCATTTTCTACCTATTTCTTTTAGTTCCAATAATTCAGGCAGGCTGTGCAGCACAGATAAAGTGGAAGTGCTGACTTTGCACTCCACAAAATCACACAGTCACTTGATGTGTTTGGC